AGCTATGTGTATGCTATTTATAGTTGATACTTTTGTGTTTTTCTATGTATTTTTGTCCGGCAGGTATCTGCGGTTAAAATTATTATATGATTTGAGAGAAATTATTCGGATTCCGAAAATTTGAACTTCGGCGAATCCGGATTTTTCCCATCACTGTAATCGATGTAAAGATTTTTTTTTTTTTCGTCGATTTCCGAGTTACCTCGGCTACACGGCATACACGAATAATGTAAGCTACCCCGCGCGGAATCGATTTCTATTGCAAATTCGTGGGTGTGTATTAAGAGGATTAAAAGAAAATGCTCTGGCGGTGGTGGGTGTGTGTGTGTGTGTGTGTGTGGGGGGGGTATACTAACGTAGCTATTCATATGTATTTGTTTATAACAATTAAATAATCGAATAACGACGAAAACCGTATAGTTCACGCATTATGATATACTCGCGCGCATATTTATTTCGGTTATTTTATTCTTTTCGTAGTTCACTGCGGACGGGATGGAAATATGCATCTGAGTAGTTGTGCATGCCTATATGGATTACGTGTACATTCCCCGGCACGTTCAGAATCTAAAAACGCTTTAACGTGCCGGTCCGTCGTGCCACGCGTGTATCCACTGGTCTCGACATGTTTGAATATTGCCGGTCCGTATTCTAAGTGTATCCCGTGACCCCGAGAGACCCCGGACCGGTACGTTAGTTGAAGCCACGTGCGTTCAAACGGACCACCGGGGACGCCGTACAAGTGTTTTTACGTAGGAACGCGCGCGTGAACGTATTTTTCTTGAAAAACGTTATCGATTTTTATTGGTTTGTACGAACGTGCAGCGTGAATATCAATTGATTTCGTCCGCCGTACCACGGTCCCGCTGACCGGGAACAAAGCGAAATAACGTAACGTAGACTGGTCGAAACGCTGCGGTTTTGTACGTTTAACGAGGAGAATATTTCCGATGGCGTCTCACGTCGCTTTCTTTCCAAACCGTATTCGAGTACCGTCAATACTTAAACGAGAACAGTTACAGAAAAAAAAAAAAAAAAAAAACAACAAACATAAACCAACACGCGATACGGCCGGTGTTTCTTTCACCCGGCTCCGGGAGAACTGCGTGGGCGCTACGGTTTGTCGTGAAAACGAAGTACACGTGCGAGCGAAATGTTTTCAATAGTCTTACGCGTTCCCGTCGTTTCCGGCCAGACGCGATTTAACGGGGGGGGGGGGGTGTTGAAAATTACGGACACATCAAAGTCCCTGCACGGGGGGCTGTGTCCCCGCCATCCCCTTTACACAACTCTTACAATAAGCGACTGTAATTACATTATAAGCGACACATACATGTCGTTTATAATTTCGTGTATAAAAATTGGTCCGAACCGTTTTAATGTTATTTCCGAAACACACATACGCGTTGTATGTAGGCAATCTGTTGTTATTATGAAACACGTGGATGAAATGTTAATTAGTCGTACACTGTACTTTACTGTACGTAAACTATAAATTATTGGGTTTTTAAACTTTGAAACTTTCAATGGTTTCTAAAATTTCAAACTTTTATGGGGTGCTGATGACCCTCAAGCCGCACTCCTCCCCCCCCTAGTTGCGCCTATGCTGTGACCTTTGAATACGGATTGAATGCGAATTAACATTTTCGGAGGTGTTTTTTTTTTCTTTCCCATTTTGCATTTCAACGAGCGTTGTGAGAAAAACGAAAATTGTAATATTACAATACTATGTGTAGGCACGTAACGTAAATTTACGAAGTTACACAACAATCGGTAACATAAATTATTAATGAGTGTTCGATAGCCTGTGTTATTATAATACTATACTATACTTTTGGTTTTATATAGCACACCAACGTAATACGCGCTTATCGCTTTCAGACAGTTTAATAACATCGGTTTTTTTTTTTTTTTTTATTCATTTCATACGAAATGCGTTTTATTAATAATCAGTACACAATTGTATTTTATACAGATGCAATTATCGCGTTATTAATGGAAATTAGTTTCAAAGCGATTTGTTAATGGGTGATTTTTTTTTTTTTTTTTGATTTTATTTTTTCAACCAGATTTAATTAATTCGTACGGACAACAACGAATGACGAATAATATACCAAACGCGCACATTATTAAACGACTGTTTATTCGTCGTTTATTAATATACCCATCTCGCGTACGCGGAGAGATCCATCGGGGCATTTGACCTTTTAACCGGAATTAAAAAGAGTACGCGCGCGTATATAGCTTTGGCGCCAATAATATAAAAAAAAAAAAAAAAAATTAAAAAAAAAAAATCAGTTGACACTACGGTACAATAGTATCTGCGTCTAAACTTCGCCTTTAGGGGCAAAACAATTTACTTATGTGTAGTAACGAAAATGTTACGCGGAGCGATTCATTAATCGACACGGACGGGCGATTATCTAAGTAGAATACGCATTATTATTGTTACAATTACATAGCAGGGGTAGCCAAATTTTTTTTTCGATGATCAGACTTCCTAACGGAAACGTATAATTATAATTCGACCACCCCTGTTATGTACAGTGTATAGGTATTAATATGGACAGTTCAAGTACGGATAATTCGAGTAAAAATTGATTTCGGCTGTTTTTGTTTTGTTTTGTTTTTTTTTTTTTTTTAGCCATTACAGACAAGGAGTTTCGTAATAGATAGCGTAACCGTAGCGCGATATTTTTGAACTCGCCTTTCGTAAAATTAATATTAACAATTATCAGTGTTCGAACAATACGATACACAACGTATATTTTTGGTACACGGATATGTAAACCGTTCCGACGGGAGATTTTTTCTATTTTTTTTTCCCCCGAAATAGGTATTGGTGTCTGAGAAAAAAAACGAAACAAGAGTCGACGCAATACAGGCGGCGTACTACGGACCGTGTCGGGGCGACGATTTTCCGACGAAAAATACGGATTCGTAACACGGATTCGGCGCGGGTACATAAAAGTCGTTGAAACGAACGCGCGACGGAATGGCCGCCCCGCAGTATGTTCTTGTTCGACAAACTGCCGACGGTCGTCGTTAAAACGTCTCGTGCCGCGCGCGCGGGGTTACGCGGGTTTAAAGCCCACGTGATAACGTCAAGCGTGCGCGAGATCGTTTTTTTTTTTTTTTATCGCGTCGTTTCGGCGCGCGCGTGAATAGAATTCGACGATGCGGCAACGTTTTTTTTCCGACGAACAGAAAAAAAACCGCGTTCGTACAACGCGGTCGAGTTTTTCGCCGTTGCGTTCCGCCGCGCGAACGGGGCCGCGCCTAGAGGGGGGCGGGAGGAGGGACGCGAAGGACGCCCGCGCGCGCATCTCGAACGTTTTTGAAAATCCCGCGAACGAATATTCGCGCGACAAACCCCGCCGCGCGGCGCCGTGAACGCCCGGCGGTTTAGCTTTTCATAACTTTTTTTTTTTTTGTTGTTCGTTTATCGGGGCGAATCGTTTCTCCGGCGCCGGACGCCGGTTATACTGCGGGCGCACTGCAACAAGAGTTTATGCGTTTTTCTCGGTTTTGTTCGTTTTTCGCACACGAAACCTCGAAACCCGGAACGCCGCGGACACACCGACGACGCCGCGGCCCGGTCCGTTTCCGGTTCCGAAAGTAAAACGAAAGCGAATAGCAAGAAACCTACGGCATTGTAATGTATCCGCTTGCCGGTCGCGTACGGTCGAACGGGCGGTGGCGCGGTGTGACGTGTAGCAGTCAGCGGCGGCGTAATAGCGATCGCCGAAAAAATATACACCAACCCCCCCCCCCCCCCAACGGTTTGTAATTCGCTACTTCCGCAGAGCCGGTCGACGGTTCGTTTCGCGTGCGAATACTGGTCGAAAACGATTCGAACGGTTCGCTGCTGACGTAGCTGCTGAACAAACGATACGCCGCGTCCGCGGATGGTATTTCGAACTGTCCGAGGCCGAACGCGCGAAGATGCGACCGGCGACTGTTCCAGTAGTGCCGCACCGACGCCGACGGCGAACTAGCATCGCGACACCGGTATCACGGCCACGATCGGCCGCCGCGGACACGCGCGTACGTCGCTTACGTCTCCCCCCCGCACGCCGTTCCCGAAAACGGCGACGCGTGCCCAGTTTCGCTGCGTGAACGGAACTTGCGTTCGCGCGGGCCCGCCGGACCGTTCGTTCGACGTCGGACCCGCCCCGTGTGGCGTCCCGTAACCCCGAAAGTGCAACTGCGCCGATTTACTATACGCACGCGTAGCCGATTTTCGCGGAACCGTAACGTTCTCAATCATCGCTGATGATGACAATGCGCTGTGACGCGGATACGCGTTTCGACCGCGACCCACACAAATACCGCGATCGTAACGTTGCACGCATCGTTATCACGATTATTTGCCCGTACCGCAGCGATGTACCCGTACGATAATGCTCATCGATCGATCAATAATAATTCGGACCTTATTTTCCATTTTAAAACAAATTATTATTATCGATGAGTCACCGCGTATACATCGACTGTACCCAATAATAATAATAATACGTAACAATAATAATAATAATAATAATAATAATATAGGTGTAGGTTACTTGAACGTTATCGACGCGTATAATACGTACGTAATAATGTTATCATCGCCGAACGCATTGTTTTATCCCGTGATACGCGATTAAGACGTGCGCGCGTGTATTGTATGCGTTGCAATATGTTGTGGAAAAAAATTCGTTAAAAAATCGAGTACATTTCGCTGCCTATTCGCCTGGTCATCCGGGCGTTGCGATCTTATAATAGCGAAAACTCATATTGTAAATATTGTACAAAAAAAAAAAAAAAAATGTAAAAAATATAAAAAATTATGTACGCATACTGCATGTATTGTGCATTGTCTGTCGTTCGCACCATGCGTCGATAAAATGTTACTTACTACGCATCGCTCGACCGCGAGCAGTAATCTGCGTCTGAACGTTTACCGTATAGGAGGGAACGGAATACAAAACGAAATAATAACAATAATAATAATTAGCGAACGCAAAATAATGTGTAATATTTTTAAATAAAAATTTTTTTTTTTAATTTTCATTTATTATAATAAAGTAATAAAATAATTGATAAAAAAAAAAACCTGGATGACATAATAGTAATAATAATATTAATAATAAAATATAATAGTAATAATAATAGTCACGATTATAACATATATTTTGAATTATTAATAATATTATCAATATCGTTAAACATCAACAAAGTGTTTGTTTTGTCGTTAATATGCTTTATGTCTAATAGTTTAAAAAAAAAAAAAAAAATAATAATATAATAAAATAAATAAATAAAGTTTGATCGATACTACTCGTAAAATGATTGATTGATTGATGAATAATAATAATAAATCTCGTGTGCGATAAAATATAATAATATTGTTAGTAATAATAAAAACTAAATAGTTAAGTAAGCTTTGCTCGAAAAAAAAAAACGAAATAGAAAAAATAAAATAATATTAATGAAATTAACCTAGAGTTAAAATTGTCAAACATAAAGTATTGAAAATACTTCGGTTCCAAAATGTTTAAGGATAGAACCCCTTCTTGCATGTTTTAACTACATTCCCTAATGCCCTCAAGTCTGTGAAAATGTATATTATAGCGATTATGTATAAAATAAACGAATTTAATAAAAAAAAAAAAAAAATATTAATAATAATTAAATAAATAAATAAATAAGAATAAAGAAAATACGTTCCGACGACAATGGTAATAATAATAATAATAATAATATATGAATGATGTAAATGTCGACGAACACGTATTATTATGTTATTGAAATGTTATTGAATGGCCCGAAGATGCGCGTAGGTATATTGTTGAAAAACTAAATAGAACAGTCAGACTACGGTACTTTTCGTTTGTTTGTTTGTTTTTTTTTTTTTTATTTAGTTTGTTTATGTTTTTAGCGATTGCTGGCGTTTGCGTTGTTTCAACGGTAAATTACCGTCGAGCAAAATAATAATGTTACGCGAATTCGGAGGGGAAAAAAATATAGAAAAAAAAAAAAAAAAATCCATCGATTGTACAATTCCTTTCCCTTAAGTCTAGTATAAATAAATAAAAATAAATAAAATAAAATGGAACTTTGATAGATTTGGCAAACAGGAATATTCGTGTGTAGTGGTTCTCTCCTCATCCGTTTAGTGTGCGCCGACGATGGAAATAATTACTGCGTAAGTACTCGGGGTGTTTTGAGTGTCATCGGTGCCGGGCGTCGACGACGCGGGTCTTAGGCGTCCGACGGCATCACGTCCGTGGTCGTGACGGCCGGTTTGGGCTTGCAGCGGTACACGTACGCGTTGATGGACAGATCGTCGTCCGACTTCAAACAGGACTGCGTGTTTTTGCATTCGCAACTGTACGGGGGTGGTGGAAAAAAAAGAAAAAAAGATACCCGTGAGGCACATGCGAAACACGTTACGGCACGCCGGCGTGACGTTAAATCATAATTTTATTTTCGCTCACGTGTTTTTCATGAAGTAATCGATGCGGCGGCTGAACGGAACGTAGATGGCCCATCCGCACGGGGAGTTCGGGCTGCACATTTTCAACGGCATACCTGTAATCGTTGGCTCGGCCGGCGAAGCGATTTCCCGCTGGAACGGATAACGGAAAAAAAAAAAAAAAAAAAAACATTAATACCGAACGGGAAACGGGGCCAAAAACGAATTTACACGTTTCGCGCGATATACGCTGTAAATCGTTTGTTTGGTTCGTTTTTTTTATTCTTACCTTCTGCGGGACGTGTGTCGAAGCCGCGCCGACGGTGTACACCAAACAGAAGCACACGTACACCGCGAAAACGGCGACCGACAGGCCGCATCTCTTGGAGCCACGTTTCACGTTCTTTCCGCCGTCGGTCTGGGCCGCGGGCAGTGTCGTGTTGTTCCTGGCCATGATGGTTTCGAACGATTCGGCAGACATTATATGATTATTGAATTAATGCGATATTTTGCGGACGAATTTGAATCGATTATATGCCGATGGCGATTCGGTGGATACCGTTGCTGGCGGGGTTCTGTTTGACCGGAGTAACCGCGTTTGAATGTCCCGACGGACGAATTTAATTTAAACGATTTTAAAACGTAAGAGAGAACGTGTGTCAGTGAGCTGAGGAGCGTTGCGGAGAGAGCGCCGTGTGAATGTAACTGTGCGTGTAAGGATGTCGAGTTGAGACTGATTCAAATTGAGGCGGGCAAATGGGCTTTTATAATCAGGGTCGGCTCGGCGGGAGGGAGAGCGGGCCGCGGTCGAATGGTGAGACCCGCTGGCTACCGGCCGACGTCCGAATCTACAAGCGTTGCCACCACCACCATCGCCACCGCCGCCGCCGCCGCCGCCGCCACTGAAACTACAACCACCGCGATCCCCACCGCCGTCGCCGCCACCGTCGCCGCGGCAGTCGCTGCCGCCGACGCCGCCACAACAGTCGCCGCGGCCGCAGCGACCGCTCGGTGTTCGTACGTTTTCATAAACATTATTAATATCGCTCGCTAATAACACAATAATTAATTATAATAAAATACGACTCTGTAACATAATGCAAATTATTATAACCCACACGAATTACGCACAATACCTTCTCGTTTTGCACGCGTAGGTATTTGCAGTGATTTTTGATTTTGCTACGTTCACACGCGGACATTTCGCAGGGCAACTTTCGTTCGTCAATTATTATTGATAATTTTTTTTTTACTTTTTTTTTCTTTCTGTCCATCTGTCCTAACCGTATATAAAATCGTTAATATTAATATAACGCACATCGTCGCCGATGCGAAATTATTCAATTTCGTTAGTAAACAATAATATATCAATTGGATATTCACAATACGGTCTGAAAAATCACAAATTTTTAGAAAAACAATTTTTCAACTTAAAACAATCCGCGAAATATCGAGAAATGTTATCTATAAATAATTTTCATTTCGAATTATAACTCGGAAAAATTTTATAAAGCAAAAAAAAAAAAAACAAAACGTAACATACAAAAAGTTTTCAAATTTATACCTGCAGTTTATCTGTATTTAGCTAACGAAAAACGATTCAGAACAAAGTTTAATTATACATGTCTAAAAAAGCCGTTATATTTACGATTTTTGTTAAAATTTGATTTTAAAACTCTTATAAAAAAAAAAAATAATAAATACTTCATCAGTACATCGCGCTCAATTTTTTTTTGAGCACTCAGTACAACTTATAAAATGAACCTCCTGTCAAATATTCAAGCATTTCTGTTTAGTCTAACACTTTTATCCTCAGAGTACCTACCAAAAAAAAAAAAATTACTTTAAAACTCTCAAAATTAAAATGTCTATAAATATCTCGAAAATAGCTTAAATGTTTTGAACGTCTAAAAAAATCAAATATAAATTTTCTGTCAAATTTTCAAGTTTCTACGAATATTTTTAACTTAATCACAACAAAAAAAAAAAATTTTAAATGATAAAAGAATTACCATTTTCGTAAATTTTCCTGTTCTTTCTACGTTTTTTATTTGGTATTACTCAATAATTAAAAAAAACCCCAAAGAAAAAAGAAAGTAAAAAAATTAACATTTTTATAAAATCATAAACTTCATTGCTCCACTTAGAATCTAAATCTACTCTCTTAGCCATCAACTAGATTAAAAATGAAAGAAAAAAGTTCTCTTTTTTTCATTTATTTTTCTATGAGAATCTATTTTTCTATCACTATTTTAGGTAGAAAACATAAGCCGTAAAAACTTAAAATAAAGGAATCCTAACGACACTGTACGTATATCAGTTTTCTTTTTTCATATTTTTCGGTTTTCCTCAATTATTACGAAAACTATTTGTCAGCTTATAAAATAACTTTCTTCGTGAACATCTTGTGCCAAAATTTAACAAAAAAGTATCTTGGCATTTTTTGACATATAGTATTTTTAGTAGTAAACATCATTTACAAAAATTAAAAACGAATGAAATCGTTAACGCCACGGTGTGCTGTAAATATTTACGATTTTACCTATAATTTTCTCTCCGGGTTTCTGCAATTATTTTGAAAATAAATGCATATAAATGTGAACAAATTCACCAACTAGACGAAATTTCCTATTAGAAAAGATGTCGCGCTCCATAGAAAGATTTCCGGTAGAAAAGTTGGTTACAAACAATACAAACGTAAAATATATCAATGTGGCAGGAATAATTAAATTAAGAATAAATTTATTAAATAATAATAAGAACATATAATGTCTTATAAAGACTTTGTTGTGACTGGCTTAGAGACATGTACTAAGTTGCAATTAATAAATTGAACAATAGTTAATGAAATAGAACAATCAAATTTAAAGAATGCATACATATAATGATGTTATTAGAGTGATAGGTTGTTTTAAAAATCTGTATTCGATAAAGCCAAAAGAAAATTATGCACCAACATCGAAACCATTATATAGAGTTCCAATCAAGATTAACGAAAAGTTAAAATTATAATTAAACCGTTTGTGTGAGCTTAGAATTATATCTGAAATTAATGAACCCATAGACTGAGTGAACAAAATTGCAATTGTTAAAAAGCCGAACGGATTAGTTAGAATATATATATATATTATGTTTGGATCCCAAAGATTTGAACAACGCTATAAAAAAAAAAAAAGACCATTAATTGTTACTAACATTAAATGATTTATTTATTTAGTTGAATTAATTAATTAAATCAAAGATATTACATTTTTTAGATTCAAAGGACGGGTTTTTTCACATACTTTTGGATAAAAAAAAAAAAAAGTAGGTACACATCCCAGTCATCGTTACGCTCCGAATCTAAATAAAATATCTTAGAGAAAAAAAAAAACCATCGATTGCAGACCTATACGCGATAATTATTCGGTCAAAATAAAATGTACAAAATAATAAATAATGTCGTTGTTATTATTATTATTTTTTAATAAAACAACAATTTATTTTTATTTTATCGATAAAAAAAATAAATAAATAAGTATAATAATATGAGTATTTTAAAAAACAGTATAACAAAAATTTCCAAGTGCACTAGCTCATAATATTATTATTATTAGGGCTCGGAAGTTATAGGAGCTAAAAAAGGCAAAAGATGTATGCGAATATCTACGAAAAAATTTTAAATATGCATGGAAAATGTTTGAATACGCAAACAATGATTCTGTTTATTATTCAAAAACATAGAATATAATTTCATTATTAATGCGCACAAAAAAGACAAAGATTAAATACGAAACGCACCGTTTTCGTTAAATTAATAACAAACTGAGACGGTAAGAAATAACAATAAATAACTACGTTAAATAATATTGAGTTTTGAATTTAATATTATTAAAATAAATTGGTTAACAATGAACGGGAAAAACATGGAAAGAATGTGGGGAAATTTACGTAACGTATTATTTTCGAGTTGTAAATATTACGGCCTACAACCGAACTTCGCTTTGAATTGTTTTTCGAAAAAACCGTAGCATATAAAAAAATTATTATAATTTAACAGGGAGAAAAAAAAGAGCTGATATGCATTGGTGTACATTATTTTAATCGAATGCGGGTCGAAGGGCTTGTTATAAAACATATTTTCAAGTCGGCCGGATAGATTTGTATCAAACTCCGAGTGAACTCCGGTGAAAAAAACACCATCGGACTATAAATAAGTCTTTAAACATACAAAAAAGATAAACGTACTAAAAAACCATATTAGTATATAGGTAAATAGGTACTGAATGTGTTAATTATTTTTACATACGTGTGGAGGTGAATTGGTTTTTAGATTCCGAGTGAAGCGAGTGATTTATTGGTTTTATTGGTTTTGATGTGTATTTTTTCGGTTTGTAAGCTACTAGAAATTTTGCTCTAATCAAAACATGACAAGTCAACATTTTTGTTGCATTTTGACTCTAGTTGGTACTTTAAAGAGGTCATTTTTTGAAATTCTCATTAATATTCGAGATAATGAGGAAAACCTGATTCTTTAGGTAAAAAAAGATTGAAAGATTAAAAATAAGGCTGTCATTGGCAACCATTTTATTTAATTTTTTGTTAATATTAAGTTTTCATAATTTTAATATCTTTTAAACAATCATTGTTGTCATGGAAACACACATTGTTGTTATCGTTTTACCATAATATAATATATTGTTGACAAAACAACACTATCAACTGAACTTCGCTCAAAATAGTTTTTTCATTAACTTAAATTATACTTAAATTAGTCTTTTCTAGATGTGATAAATTTCAAATCATTTTAAATTGATTTTGGAGCTATTATCATAAGTCAAATACTTATGATAATAACTCCAATTACGATTTTTTTTAGTTTCAATTTAGTATTTTCTCTGTATAAAATTGTTTTGACGAACAGAAATGCTTCACAATTACACACGAGGTTAATCATAATTTATACTTAGTGGTAAAAAAAAATCATAGTTTAGTGCAACATAATAAATATTTTTTATACAGCGTTATTTTAGTTCAAATTTTGACGGAAATCGTAAAAATTACGGTATTTAAAAATATGTACCTACAACTGAACTTCGCTCAGAATCGTAAGTCGTTAGTAATGATTTATAGTTGCATATAGGTATGCATTGTAAAAACTCTATAATATGTATTTCCTTTTTTTTCTCTCTCGGAAAACCCTTTTTTGGTCAATAAAAATGTTCTGATTTTTTCACGTTATATCTTAAAATAGCGAATTTTTCTCACTATAATACTTTCGACCTTTCTCCTTATTTGCCTTTATATACATAGATATATGTTTTAAATAATTTTTAATCACTATATATTATAGACAAATTGTTCTGATTTTTTTACGCAGTAGACGGTACGTGATTTCTGCCCAGCGGTGGTACCTATTAAATATTAAATATTTTTTTATTATGGGAAACAAAAAAATACATATTTATATTTGAGATTTTTAATAACATTTTTATCGGGAATTATAGAGCGGAAACGCGTAAACAGGAAATATTCACATTATATTTCGGCAGAATAATATATTAGAATACACGATCCCGCCAATCAGAAATGGAAACGTGCTCGGAATATAATAATATAATAAAATATATAATACGCATTTTTTTAAATTTTTTATTTTAATCTAATCTAACAGAATAAAATATATTTGTATATAATGTTGTACGCACGGTAGTATTAATTTCATTTTATTTTTTTTTTTTTAACATGTTTTTCGAGCATTTTATTGGCGTTTGATAATCATTTTCATTT